AAAGCTCAAAAATACCTAGAAAAACAGGCATTCTGACTGTGAATGGGGTTGCCTTTCCACAGATTTGACCGGTCATTTCGTCTGGTTTGGTCTCCATGAAGATAGAAAGGTTTAATGCTATACTGTAAAACATTCCAAACAAAGCAATAAACAATAAAAGCATCTGACGGAACCTGCATCAGAAAAGTCACCTTTAAACTCTGTTCCATCTGTTCTAATGAAGGTAGTAAAGGCACCTTTTACATACAGGACCAGTCAAAAGTTTGGACACACTTTCCCTTTTATTTTTCTTATATTTTCATAATTATTTACACTACAGGTTCTCACTGAACGCACCAAAACTAAGAATGAACACATACATAGAATATAGCAAACAAAAAATAAGCTTAAAATAACTCCAAACTTGTCTTAGATTCAAAAATGTTAAAAGTGCCTTCCTTTGAACCTGGGTTTGCACTTTTGGTATTTATTTCTCCCTTTCTAACCATGTCAGGAGACTTTAAGAAACTCAATGAGAGAAGGCGTAACTTAAATATATATATATGTATTTAGTTGAATTATTTAACAGTTTTTTCTTTACTACATAATTCCATATATCTTGCATTATATATTCAATGTCTTCTGTTTGTATCTAAAATATATAAAGTAGTAAACATAAAAACAAACACTGAATGAGAGGGTGTGTCCAAACTTTTGACTGGTAGTGTATTTTAGATAAACAACTGCACAGGAGGGCTCGCATTCACAAGGATTACTGAAGATTTGATAAAAAAAACAAACAACAAAATGATAAAACTGCTTATCTAAACTGAATAAAGTATTGTTACACACTGCACATTACATAAGGGGGAGTCCAACAGGATTGTCTTTGGCCCAATTCCCACTACTGCTGTTCTTTTTTAGCTCTTAGAAGCCCATGCCAAACCAAGCTCACTTGAGACACACAGCTCCTATACAAGTCTCTGCCTGTCTGAGGTAAAACCCTGTAATGACAGATAACTGGAGCTGTTTTAAGTTGGGTTGCCCTGCACTTAAATAAGAGTTTCACTTAATTTCAGATTCCTTTTGAGGCAAACGATTCCGGCAAAGAGCCCCGTTCTCTGTAATGATCTGGTGACAAAAGAGAAGGCGCCGCGAGACGAGAATCGCCTGAACAAAAGCGCATGTAGTGAGTAGAAAGGGAGGGAAGGAATGTCAAAAATCTGCCAGTCTTGATGTCACACAAGGACAAAGATGTGAGGGAGAACAGAAAACGCAACACAGCAATGGGCGAGAAGCAGATTAAAAACTTGGGGAGGCCGTCTGAAGATCTTAAAGGTGCACTGTGTAACTTTTCTGGTGGAGGGTTTGTCAAATTCTTTTCTCCATAGTGATGTTCTGTCTTTGTCAGGAATGTTTCACAGCATGATACTGAACCTTTCTAGTTTAAAGGAGACCAAATCAGACCAAGTTCCAGGTCAGATCTGTGGAGAGGCAACCCCGCTCACAGTCAGAATGCCATTTTCTATAGGTATTTTTGAGCTCTAAAACCACTTGTAATTGAATAAATGTAAGGCAGAGCTGTTTAATGTCATACTGTAGAAATTTCCAAGCAGAACAATGACATATCCATAGAAACAAGCAGGTGATGTATCTCCAAACAAAAAGTTACATAGTGCAGCTTTGGAATGTTTCATAGTATGACATTAAACAGCTCTACCTTAAGAAGACAAAGGATTAATGCCATATTTCTAGATAAAGCAATAACATCTCCATGAATGAAAGCATTGGAAGAACTCTCCACGCGAAAAGTTACACAATGCACCTTTAAGAGGCGCAAATTACTGAGTGAATTCGAGGAGAGAGTCTGTGGACTGGGCCCTGCTTATAGGCCCGTCAGCCCAACGCGGCACAACAAGCGAACAAAAGGATCATTTATTGAAGGAGGAAAGAGGGGGAGGTGGGATGGAGTGATGAAAAGAGGGGGAACACTGTACACAGGCATTGGAGAGCGGTTAAAGCCAAACACTGGCCTCATCTCAACATTCACAGCCAACGTGTAATATTCTCCAGGCTCCTCCTCCTCCCCGTGACGTACGACGTGCACATATGGTCCCACTGAGGAAGCCCCAAGCATTCTTCTCCAAAATACACCCAGTCAACGCTGCATGCTTCAACCAACACAGCTATAATTTCGCAATAAAAACAGGATGACAATCTATGTACATGAGGAGCTAACTTAACCAACTGTTGAGCTGAACTGTAATGTAATGTCTTTCTCACCCATAGACTATGTAATGCAGTGGATTAACTGAGTGGGACATCCCCCATAGCGTTTAGATCTAGCCAAATGAAGCTCATGAGGCAAGCAGTTATAAGAGCAAAGTTGGAATCGGGTCCATATTAGGAATAGGAATTTATTTACAGACAAAATGGGGAAATAAAACACCAGGATGGTGTAGAGTGGGTTAGTAAGAGCATTTTAAGGCCAAAATGACGAGGCTCACTGCAGCAGTTACTGAGAGAGAGGTGACAGTTTTTCAGTGTCAAGTCAATTGGAGCCAACCAGAGTCGAAGTCAGAAGTGCCCCATGTTCACTTCTTATCTGGAACATGGCGACTAGTGGGTTAGCCATGTCCATTTATATATACAGTCTGTGCTCTCACCGCAAGATCTCATGATGAATTGTCATAAATTCTTTAAATTCTTTATTAAACCCAAGTGTGGAGTTGAGTGTACAAGAGCAACCCGGGAGGTTCTCACAAAAGTACAAATCAAGTATAGACTAGTGCAAGCTACATAAACAACTGGGCTTGGCAGGAGGCATTCAGCAAAAGCCCTGCAGAGGAAGGTTAAGTACAACTACTAAGTACTTTATTGTTTCGTATAAATCTCTCTCATTTAATGGCTGCTTTAACAGCAAACTCTGCATGAGTTAGATAGTGTCCCAGTTTAAAGATAACAAAAGGCAAGAGAAATATAATTAAACAATAAATAGTAAATACATAAACGCATTATGATTAGAAGGCATGCTAGTTACAGTGATTTAAACCATCAAGGTTAAGTGCCCTGTTATTACCGCACCTTACTTTGAAAAGAAACCTGAACGAAAGACAGATGAGCTCTTCATTCTGTGTGTGTTGTGTAAATTACTATGATGCATTGACCAAAACAGATAATTTAATAATTCATTTGAACTCCTTACTTTTACCCTTTGCAATACTGAATGTTATATAATTTAAAATATTGAATTGTATATAGGAGTAGGGCTGAGAATCACAAGGTCCTTCATGATTTGATACAATACACAGCTCACTAACAATACTCACAATAATCTACATATTGCACATGATACTATGTGAGATATAGCTGTTTTTCAAGGATCAAATACATTTTAGCAACAATATTTCTTTTTTAAACCAGGACTTGAGCAAAGTTAAAACGCATCTATTTTAATCATCAAAAGATATATGTATGTTAAATGTATTGCATAAACCAGTTTCCTTCCACTAAATAAGCAACAAAATAGTGCCGTCTAGGAAAAAAAAGCAGCTAAAAGATATTATAGCACCATATATCAATATTTTTCCACACCCCTATATAGGAGGTGCCATTTATTAAGTATCCAACTAAATATCTCATCAGACGTAGAAAAGTAGCAGCAGAAGGGCAAAGGAAAAGAGGGTCAAAATTCAGTGCATCTGTTTGAGTCGGAGTGCTTCAATAGAGAGCCATTCATTGTGCCACAGTGTCAGTGTTATTGTAAAGTACAATAGCTCAGCTGGACTAGAAGATCCCTTTGTCATCTTTATGTTAATAGAAAAGTACTTGTGATGGGGTGTAGTACTGAATATGGCAGGGGAGCAATGATGTAATTTTACTATTAGACCCTTTAAAAATGTGTAAACAAAAACATTCAAAATTCTGGAATGGAGGCAACTGGAGGCAAAAGTGAAAAGGGACATAATGCAATTTCAATGGGAAAACTGGGATTCATTTAAGAATAGTCACAAAATATGAAGAAACTACGTAAATTTGGCAAATGAAAAACATTGAGATACATGTAAGTGATGTGAAAGCCCAGTTTTAAAACATTTACAATTGTGTTTTATATTATTTGTTTACTTAACAAGACTTTATGATAGACTAAGCATTTTTGACAAAGGAAAAATTCAGATTTTTAAATACAAATCCTTTCATAAATGTTGAGCCCACTATAGTTTTTCACTTTAATTTACTGATAGCCTATATTACAGTATCGATATCAGGGATTGCTGTATCGATATATATCAGCAAATTTTTGGTATATTTTACTGAATTATTCTGTTACAGCACTACAGTTTTGTTGCTTGTTTAGAAGGTTTTGATGAAGAATGGGTGTGTTTCATATTAACTTTGCAAAAGAAGTGGTTTAACAAAGACTTAGTATCACAGCCATCATTTAGCCATTATTTTTTATTGAACCATATTGAACTGAGTTGAAATATATGGAACCAAAAGTGCACTGTATTGAGATATGTATCGTATCGTAGCCTATATATCGAGGTATGTATCGTATCGGCAACTTCAACTTCACACTTCACTTATTGACATAGGATTTTAAAGCGTCGAAATGGCACCAACATACATCTCTATAATGATGACTTTGGGTTGGCCTGTACTACACAAAAATAGGTTATACTCTGAAAAGATTGATGTTGATATTTCAGTTGGTCTGGTGTTTTTTTTCCCCTTAAATTACATTAAACAAAAACAGAGCATGTAACAAAAACGGTGTATTGACTTGTGTGCTGATCCATATCTGTTATGGCTTACAGAGAGCAGTAAAATGAATTATACTGGTGTTATTTTAATCTGGCGCCAGGTGACGCTTCATTGAAACCGTGATTGAATTTATCTGACGGAAATCTAAATAGTAACAGACAGAAGGAGGACAGAGAGTGAGGAGAGCGCAGGGAGATGAGAGACGCTTTGTTTTATGGAAAGAAAAGTTAAAGTGGATATATTTAGCCATCTCTTACCTGTTCCTTCCTTGCTTCCACTTTGTGTTCGTAGCTCCTCAGATTTGTAGAAGTCAATGCTTGCGTACGTGTTCAGACTGGCGTTGCTGTTGCTGCTGACGACCGCTGTCCCGACCCCACCAACGCCAGAACCCCCGGTGAGAAGGGAGAAGAGACGAGAGGCTGCCTGGCTTCCTGAAGGCCCGTCCAAACCGAGATGGGGTCCCTCTTTGCTGGCCAAGTCCAAGTCTATATAATTAAGGCCCTGCTCTGTGGATGAAGTCTGGCTGTTTATGGGAAGGGGTTGGGTGGGGGGCTCCGTCACAGCACCATTGCCCCAAAGTATGCCATCAAAACCCAGACGCCGCACCACAGCCTGGGCATGCTCTGGGAAAAGAGTGGCAGTGGAGTTTGAGGAGGTGGACGCAGAGGTGGGCACGGGTGGTTGAGCCAAAAACGTTTCAGAGCAGTGCCTTCTTCGTCCTTGCGGATCTGCCCGGATGACTTTGGCGCCGTGGTCTGGGTTGGGTCCTTTGGCGAGAGGGAAGTCCAGACCTCGAGACAGGCCGGGGCCAGAGGGGTCAGTCCTGTTCGGTGAAGGAGCCTGGGGGGAGACACTCGTCGCCGTGGCGTTGCTATTCAAGCTAAATGCCATCTCTGTGTAGTCGCTGCAGGATGTTGGCGACTCTGATTCGGTAACGGAGGGGGCTTTTTCTCTGCTTTTGCGACGTGGTACCTCTGCAACTTCCACCTGCTCTTCATTCAAACTGGCTGCACCCTCATTGCTAGATTTGGGTGCATGGGCAAGCACTGGAGGAGTGGGTGGGCTGTGGAAACTAGGGAAGACTAACGGGGTGTGTGAATGAGGTGAGGGGGAAGGAGAGGGGCCCAAGTCCATGTTGACATATTCTGAAGCGGCTGGCGGGGTGATGGGGGCGGATGGGCTACGAGACAGAGGTATAAAGTTACCCAGGCAAGAAACTGGTCTGTTCTGGGTTTGCTGGGCACTGGAGCCATGGGGCATTGATAGGCCATGTCTGAGGCCCCGCCCACGACTTCCTCCCACACGAACATGGCTGCTCTTCTCCTCCTTAAACTCAATGCTAACGTACTCCCCGGGACTCTTGGGTTCTGGGGGCAGTGGATTTTCCCGCACACGAGGAAGCGTATTGGCTTTTGAAATATCGACGAACAAGCTCACAGGTCTGCTTTTAGTGTGACCTTTAGTGTGACCTCCTTGTTTGGGCAGTCCATTCGAAGTCTGTTTCTGCAGTGGCTTGTTCCCATCTTTGAGGTGAGATGAGGTTGCTTTATTACTTGCTCCGAGTGGGGGTCTCTCTTCGCTTTCCCCCAGACTTTCGCTGCTGGCCGAGCTGGAGGAGTAAGAGGACGATGACAGTGACAGGTGACGACTGCCGACTGAATTAGCAGGTGCAGTTTGCTCTTGCCGTCCAGACGCAGCCCGACCTCCTCCGATCCCCCTGCTGGCGCTGGACCTCCTGCCTCTCCCCGGCCCATCATCGAAATGTCCAGATGGGTTATGCTTGTACGAGCGAGGCAGAGAGTAGTAAGAGTAAACCATCTTGGGAGTTTGTTGATGAGAACTGTTTTCCAAATGTCCAGTATGATCTGGAGGAGGGGGACTGCCATTGACAGAGCGTGCACTGATAGGGGACATGTTCATATAGTCACTTCCTGCCCTGCTATCTGCACTGCCACTGCTCACCCAAGCCCCACCCGACAGTCCCCCTCGCTGGTCCGGAGAGCAGCTGCTGTTGGGAGACATGATCATATAACCATCAGAGGCTGGAGGTCGGATTTGTTGTGGAGGGGAAACACTGTTATTTGGTGTCATTGCCATGTAGTCATCTGCAGGTTTAGAGTCCATTTCAGGGACAGACACGGCCATGGATTGGGACACTGTAGCTTGGGGTTGAGTAACGCCAGGCAACATTGACATATACCCATTGTCCACGCCTACATCTATATTCCCACCTCCTCCTTCAGTTTTAAACTCGCTGGCTACATCCAAGTATCCACTTCCAACACTCCCACCAGCAACTGATTGTCTTTGTGTGGAAGGAGTCGTCGAAGTGAAAGATTCTCTGCTTGTACTCCGAGACATGATGGCGTAGTCAGCAGATTCTTCGTCTGTTGGCTCCTCTGCCCGCCGCTGACGAGGTGCCAGTCTCTCCAGAGCCATCGGAGGAAGTGACGCCCGCTTACTTAGCAACCTCCGCTCTGCTTCACATTCACGACTAGAAGAGCGCCGCAAAACTCTCCTGCTCTGAGACTGAGCGCTGCTGCCTGGCGTGGCTGGTGTGCCTGATACCGGCTTAGGGCTATTAGTTAAACTTCCTTGATTAGCGCTGCCAGCCTCACCCCCTCGCTGCCCCATTAGAATATAATTGGCTCCTTCATCTCCTAATGACTGGCTCCCTACACTGCCCATAGAGCTCCCAGGGAGGCTTGGGGAGGGCAGTACGGTGTGGTCACCAGGGCTGGAGCCATACTCATCAGAGGAGCAATAGTCACTGGGGGAACCGGACACTGACGCGCGATGAGTGGGCACACGACTATATGCACCAGAGCCAGCACCAGGGGCAGAAGATGGTACACCACTGAAATCTGAGCCCTGGCCTGAGCTACATGACAGGTTTGGAGTTACAGATGACGCTGGGGTGGAAATTGAGCGCATCAGGCCAAGAGTTTTAGCAGCTGTTGTAGGAACCGAGCGTGTGGATTTTGACCTGAGGATTGGGGTGGTAGAGCAGGAGCCATTGATAGAGGGGCTGGAGCTTGGTCCTTGTAGAGGTGTGGTCCCAGCTCCACCTTCCTCAGTCTTACCTCCATCACTGGCAGTACGAGATCTGGGAAAGCTGTGCCTCGGAGTAGGTGAGGCATTGGCACTGCCCACACCAGCGCCACCTCCATTAGCACCTCCAGGAGGTTCAGTCCGGGGCCGGCGGGTGAAGCCCACTTGGCTGGGAGGGGGGTTTGGGTGGTGGCGACGTGAGGGGACGCTGATGGGGTTAGAGGCTGTAGCCCCGCCTCCAGGGCCAGAGCTGGACTGAGATTTGCTCCTCTGGCGAAACTCCTCACTCAGCGCCTTCATGGCTTCCAACAGGGTCTCATGCATGTTTTGAGCCACAACAGAGTCATCCACCTAAGAAGAAACAAACCCTGTAGTAAAATGGACTCAAATACTCAAATACTAGCAGTGTTAAAGGTGCAACATGTAAGCAACTTTTTTGATGGAGGGTCTATCACCTGCATTTCTCATGGAGATGTTTTTGTTTTGCCCAGAATGTTCCACTTTGGTATTAAAGTCATCCATCTCGCATTGATTTAATTGACAGTGTTTTATTGTAGAAATAGCTTGAAACAAATACATCTGAACTTTGAGTGGGCTTGCCTTTCCACAAATCTGAACTGTAACTTGGCCTGCTGCTGTCACGTCACAGTTGTATTTGTGTAAATAGCTAAGTTTAATGTCATATTGTGGAACATCTCAATGAAGACAAGAATATGGTGGACACCCCACCAGAAAAGTTACACATTGCACCTTTAAGTCCAAGTATAAAGATTTTAAAGATAAGATTTAGCTTTTAAACACATATTTGGATAAAACAGGAGGGTAAAATCATAAATCCTAATAAGTCCTAATTAGAAGCTTACCTGCATCCAAAACTCGCCTGGGCCCGTGACGGCGGATCGTCCCACCTCCACAAAGAAGAAGTTTTCAGAATGACCACATCGTCGCACATTCAACAGCTGTAGAACAACAGCAGCAGCGTCTGAGTTCAGTTTGACAAAGTTGACGGTCTTGTCCGTGAGGCAGAGGCGGTAGATCCCCACCAGGTTCTTGGCCTGACCTAAGCCTTTGGGCCACACCTTCACCTGCCAGACCTCTTTGAATGCTGGTCCAGGGTTGGGTACACCGTAGTCCTCTGCAGCCCCGTTGTCAGTTGGATTTTTACCTAGAAATCAATGAAAAAATAAATTAAAATATGTGTTCTTTTCTTGTCAAACTCAGAAACAAATATGTTGTTTCCAAAGAAACTCAAAATGCTGTAATATTAGAATATGAGTGTTCATGTGACCTTCACTTGCTCAGTTAGGGCACCAGGTGAAAGTGCCTCTATTTACCTTTGGTCAGGGTAAGTAGCTTTTATTATGCAGGCTTTGCTGATGCTAGGCTTTTCTTAGATCTTTTGGTCAGATTTTAACTTTTAAGTGCACAAGCAAAAGCTTGACTGAGACCAGCAGTACCTGCTGCAGGCTTCATACCTGGGGTCTCATTCGTCACCTGTGAATACACTTCCTGACACGGTGAGGAAAATGAAACTGCTGACAGTTGACCCTCTTAAAGTGATGACTTTGTCAGAAACAGCCTCTGTGGAAAAGCCTGGACAATGCTTATGAAGTAAAATATTCAGCTAAACCCAGTGTCAGTAATGAAGACTCAGCGAGGGGCACCTATGTCTAAACAGGAACAGTTAGTAGTAAAACAGTTTTTAGGAAACACAAGTGCTCCATTCAGCCCTGTATTAAGTGCTCAGGTCAGACATAGTAATTACTGAGCACAACAGAAAGCCTGTTAATCTGATCTTTCTACACTCACAGTGGAAAAGTGACAGGCTCACATACTCGGCAGCATTTCGCCACCTGTTTTCAGTTATTGACGATCAGATAAAGTAAATGTGCCTATTAAGCTTAAATTACTCTAATTATATCAAGCTGTGGAACGGACCGTCTAAGCTGATATTAGATTTATCTCAATGACTGGACTTATTTTAGATCAGCATCCAGCCAAGGTTTAGTCATGAAATATATGATTAAACACAGATATACAGTACTGTAATAGGCATTGGAATAACCCTAAACTTATCCAAGACTTCAATGTAACATACTGTATTTCAAAATACTGCCTGAAGATTTTCCAGATAGGTTTGCACATGACATTGATCATTTGAAAATATGCTGCCATTTATCTTATTGACAGCATCAGAGATACCGCCTGAAAAAGCAGTGCAATCACCTGCCTTATTTTCAGTCCATGTATGAAAATCATATTCAGAGAGCTTCACAAAGGGCTTAGGGAGCAGGGCAGTCACATGGCACTAATGCCTGCGTGTACATCTGCATACATTTACTCCTCGTTTCCCAGGGTTTCTGCAGCAGGAATCCCTCATTGACAACTGTATGTGGACAATAAACCCAAGCAAACACAATGCTCCCCACATTATGCAAGCTTCTGTTATGACGAATAAAAGGTCCAATATTCCACACAATTGACTCTTGTGATCTTTAAGCCATGCTGGAAAGTTGTTACTTTATCCAAAACATACTTGGAATTGTGTTTTGTTTCACTCACACATGTATGAGTAATCCTTTATTATTAGTCTGTCAACATCTCCAAAGCTCAAAATGCGCAGTAGGGCCCATATTATGCTGTTTTCTCATCTATGTTATAATGTTGTTTCCTCATCAAAAACATGTTTAACACATAAATCTGGCATATTCAGGCTGAGTTCTTCTCTCAAACAGAGAACACTCTGTTCCACCTTGTGATGTCATGAGGTAATACAGGAAGTGCTCCACTGTGTTTTTACACACCATACTCCTTCACTAGAATGATATGGATAATTTCAGCCCAGGAATTGCCAATCTCTATTGAATTAAAGGTAAAGGTAGCTGTTAACTTGAAAACTACCACTTCACGACACCACAAACAGAACAGAGCATTTTGAGCTTCGGAGATGTAGACAGACTTATAGTAAAGGATTACTGAAACATGCATGAGTGAAATAAAACACAACTCCAGGTATGTTTTTGGGGAGATAAGAATCCATTCTGTAATACTGGACCTTTAAAAGGAATCCTTCATTGACAACCATATGTGGACAATAAGCCCCAGCAAACACAGTGCTCGCCACATTACACAATCTTAAGTTATGACAAATATCTCCCTAGATCCTCTTTAAGAAACATTTACTTGTGATTGCAAAAGACAGAAATCTGACTTTAGTTTTTTTGTTTTCTTCCCCCCCCCAAATTTGCAGGAGACTTGAAAGAACCTTAGAATAGCTGTTTTGTTGAGAGCAATGGAGGCTGTGGCTTGGTGGCTGTGTATGTGAAGGCGCTTCCCCCTATATTAGATGACTCATTCAAGGCCATGCACAGTGAATTTGTGTGCTGTGAATATGTGAGCTGCATGTTTCTGTGCGAGGAGCCCTGTTTGAGTCCTCGATTTAGATTTACAACAGGAAGGAAAGGTTTGGGGCTTTTTGGTGTGCACAGGGAGAATGAGGGAGAGATGTTGGAGATATGAGACAGCCATTACATGAGGGGTAACAGAGGGGGTCAAAACACGCTGCGGTATGAAAGAGCCCATATTACGCACATTTGCGCATCTGTGTTATAATGTTGTCATCTTATCAAAAACATACATGGAGTTATGTTCCATCTTGTGATGTCATGTGGTAATACAGAAAGTGCTACACTGTGTTTTTAAACTCCACACACCTTCACTAGAATCATTTGGATCATTTCAGCTCTAACATTGCCAATCGCTCAACAAAGGTAAAAAGGTAGATGCCAACTTAAAAACTACTGCTTGATGACATCACAAGGTGGAACAGAGCATTTTGATCAGACAGATTTGGAGAGGTAAACTAGTAATAAAGACTCACTCAAACATGTGAATGATACAAAGCGCAACTTCAGGTATGTTTTTGATGAGGTAAATACATTATAACATGGCTTAAATCTTAAGAGTCAAGTTTGAATAATATAGGACCTTTAATTTTGACTGGTACACAATTATGTAATGTATGTGTTTGTAAGTATTTTAACGTAAAAATATACCTTGAAATATATACAAACTGTGAGCTGTGGCATGTCCAAAGATCTGATCTGTCACTTGGTGATCACATATTTAATGCCATACTGACACTGTGAAACTTCATCCATGGAGAACAGCAGGTGGTGCACCCTCCACCAGAAAAGTTACACCCTGCACCTTTAAATAAAAACAGAACTTGGTTGTTTTAGAACAGACTGCCATGCCAGGTCCCTCACCATGTCCAGTAGCATTCTTAAGAGCCAAAGTGCAACAAAATTGCATCTTTTTGTAGGGGGCAGTGGGTACAGTACATTCTTAACCTTAACTGTGTGCCCTTAGAAGCTCTCTGCTGTAGTGCCACTCAAAATAATCTTCAAAAAGCTGTCCCTAAATCCAGAAGGTTACACACTGCCTGGTATGTCTGAACATGGCACTTCATTTGTGGTTACATAAAGCTAGGGCTGATCTTACAGACTGCAATAAATTATAGATCACCACAGGGATTTCTCTAAAGGACTGACAACTGAGTGAGGGTAGTGAAAGCTTTTTGTTTTTTCATTTGTGTACAGAAAGAAAATGAAGGCCTTTCAAAGACCCCTATAGGATGGCACGGCAGGATATACAGCCCGTAGCTGGTGATGATATGAGGAGGAAGTAGATGTACTTGAAAGAGAGAACACACCTGGAGGGAGAGAGGGAGACCTGCTGGTTGAATCGGGGCATCGTGTACAAAACTCTTTTCAGTCCACCTTCCTGTCACCTTGAAGGCTAAAGTGATCTCTTAAAACCTCAGCCAAGGTGAATTCACTTTTTCAGTGTCAAGTTAGTATGACGATTCCATTTGAAATTACTTAAAAGGTGCAATGTGTAGCTTTTCTGGTGGAAGGTCGGTCATTTGCTTGTGTTCATCGAGATGACAACACACAAGTTACAGCTGTGGAGAGTAGGGCTGTGTATCATTAAGAAGTTTACTTTGTTAAACCACTACCAGCTCAAAGTTAATATGAAATACACCCATTTAAACATCAAAACAGTGAATATGTCAAATGTGTTGCATAAATGAGTTTCTGTCACTACACAAGCAACAAAATGGTAGCGCTGTCACAACATACTTTGGTAAAAATATACAAAAAAATACTCTGAGATACATGGATACAGCAGTCCATGATATCGATACCGTATTATCAAGCTAAACAATACGATATATCAATATTTCAATATTTTTGCACACCCCTAGTAGAGAGGCAAGCCCCAACAATAAAACACTGATTGATTGACTGACTACAAGATAGATGACTTTAATTCCATACAGTGGAACATTCTGGGCAAAGCAAAAACATCTCCACTTCTTACGTGTGGTTCAAGAATGACAGTGCCTACAGCCAACACTGTAGTCTATTCATTCAAGTTTGTTTGCCACCTCCCCTGAGATCATAAAGTGCATATTTAAAGGCCCATAATCTAACCCAATTTTCTCAGTCAGGATTTTAACTATGACTTAAATTTGCAAAAGAAGCACCCTGCAATCTTGTCTTTTTGAGTAGGTTTAAGCCAAGTATACAGGAGGACTAAATGTTGATCCCTGGGGGGCTCTCAGATGCTTGCTGTGATATTGGCAGCCTTTCGCTCAGTGACAGTCTGATTATTGTTATGGTTATCACACAAATCCTAAGAAAGTAGGTCTCCTGTGGAGGTCTCGAGGGGAGATAATGGTTCACACACTGCAAGCAGCACAGGGGGGGCTATTGTTATCGGACAGAGCCTGTAGGGCACAACTTCAAAATGGAAAAAAAAAGAAAGAAAATGAAGTGTTACAATGTAAAAAGGATGAGTAGTTTCACACTGGCAGTTGCTCAATTGTGTCAGATAGACTTGATAAATTGTAAACCAATAAAGTGTTGATGTTTTGCAAAGAAACAGACCCAAAAAAAAAAAAAAAAAGATTATACAACAAGATTTATAAACAAATTGTACTTTATAGTTGCAAAAGCAGATAGTAAATTAGAATGTTTGAATTTAATGTATTTTTTTAAAGGTGTACTGTGTAACTTTTCATGGTAGAAGGCCCACCAGTTGCTTGTCTCCATGGAGAAGATTCTAAAGTATGGCATTAAATTTTTTCAATCTCCATAG